TAAACTAACATTTGAGCCAACAGTTTATTTGGGTTTATTATGTTTGCATGCACTTCCCATTACCAACAGTAACCAGAGGTGATAACGAATCAACCATGACTTAAATATTAGGGTTATAACTATCACTATACTACAGTGGCGAACCGTCAGGGCCTTCAAGGTATTCAGAGAATACCCTGGAACACTCAGATAAAACAAACAAAAAATCGATTTAATTATATAAATAAAATGTATATAAAATGAATAAATGAGAATGGTATCTGTGTTGTTGATCTGTAATATTACAGTGGTACGTTGATTTGTTTGTCCTTCTCGGACCATGCACTACGCATTTCAGTGGTTTTGTGTTAGAAAAGAAAGCAACCAATCAGATCTTGTTCTGGGTCTCTGGATAGAATATCCTTCAACCAAGGTATTCTATATCCTTGATAGAATGCCCTGGCCGTTGCACTGAATGAGAGCGTACCTTTGGACTGACAGTTTGATCAACCAATCATATATTGATTTGTAGCCAATGGGCGTATTCTTTCAGAGTTTCCATCGGTTCCAGGGTACTCTAGAACGCCCGGTAGTTAACTGGCTCGAGACAGAGAATCTAGATGAGTGCGACGAAGCAATTCATGCCGTTTTATTGTTTTTAACGTTGAAATGGCAAGTGAAACAGGTGAAGATGAAGTTGTTGCGGAATTGTTGCGAGTACCCTTTTCAAGACGACAATTCAGTGAAAAGACGGACATTATAACGCCAGAAGGTCCAGTTGTGATAGACACGGTTCGCCACTGCTATACTATGACTAAAATAATCTCTAACTTAGTGTTTGAATAATTTTATTTTGCAGCAGACAGGGATTTCATGTTTTGCTCATTAACATTACAGCAGACCGGGTGTGATCCCAGGCCTTCCAGCTAAAGACTGGCACAGAAATTCATCTCATGAAACTCAAGTGTGTTCATGTTGGTGTCCATGTGAATGCCTGCATGTGTGTATGCGGACGGGTATATTTGTGATCTGTATTCAAGCAAAGATCCCTGCATGAGATACACAATAGCTTGTTATATTTCACAATTTTCCTCCCAGGTTCTGCTCATTAGTGACAAGTCCAGCAGGATGGTGGTCTGACATTAATTCAGAATATTTTAAAATACTAGGTAACCACATCGGTCCAAGACCTCTGCGAGAGACCAGCAATACAGGGGTTAATGAGAAACTCAGACGTTAATAACTCATAACTCATCTCTGGAGAACTCCGAGTTTACATTAATTACAGCGTAGCCCCTGGCAAACTGCATATCAAGCAGCATTTTGCAAACAAACAACTGGCATATCTACTTACCATCAAGCAGTGAAGCAACAGGGGTCATATCGCAAAACATTTAGGAACAGGGAGGCTCAAGAGGGAAGGACAAGTGAGGCGGCGGGAGGTAGTCAAATGCACAAATGCAAACATATTTTTACACACATACAGAAACACAATGCAGCAGGCCATTCAATGCAAAGTGTGCTGCATGATATTTTATGTTGATATAATGTAGTTCGGCTGTAAAATTCATCTGACATTTGTAGCTTCTATTGAGGTTTTGGAATGAAGCGTAAAATGGCTGTTGTCGTAGTTAATGAAGACTTAACCCTTAAAAAAATCACTATACTTCATGGTTATGTTAATGTAATTTATTGTGCTGTTAGATTGCTGCTAGACTGCCCCTTAACACACATGTGCGGTCCTCCCTTTTTTTGAGGCAAGCATGAGAGCAGCAGTAATACTGTATTGTAAAGGCTAACGAAACACATCCTGTATGGACAGAAGCAGAATATCTTTGTTTGATAAAACTTTGTTTGTGAAATTGTAAAAGTCTATATTTTTTCAATACATTATGACTTTGGGACTATAACACTCTGGAGTTACTGTATAAGAAATGTATGGATTAAGGGGTGTAAACATCCTATGTGAACATTACTGAAGTCAGTGTATTACACGAATCATTTCAGCTTAATCTGCAACTGAACAGAAATACAGGGTTCAAACTTAATGAATAGAAATGCAACTATTTAGTACAGCTCTATATTGTAGATTTGTTTTCAAATTAAATGTTCTTTGTAGGTCAATTTCTCCTCAGCTGTAGGTCCATCAGTAGGTGAACAGAATATGTGGATGCAGTATTATAGCATGCACTCTGTTTCCTTGGACCGCTGGTGTTTGTGTGTGAGTGAAGCTGAAGGGAAGGGAACAGCAGAGCAGCCTCGCCTGTGACGCCTGACACCCATCAACGTCTCCCTGTTACATTTCTATGACACGCTCTGTCTCAGGAAGAGCAGCGGCAGATCAGCAACGGGAGAGAGGGGAGACGGGAGGATGTGGGGTGGACAGGTCTAGGTGGGGTGGAGGGGAAGTCAACAGGAGGGCTAAAGCACGACTGAAGGGTACAAGAAAAGCCCTGAGTGATACAAGGCAAAGTTGGTCGAAAGTGTCTGCGATTGTGCACGCTCAAAAGGTAACCGTTCAGAACTTTTGTGTAGAATAGTAACATGCAAGGCTGTGTTTGCTGAATCTACACATTCTCTATGTATCGTGGCTGTACAATTATTGAATTACATTTTTCGTGTTAAAGTCAAGTGGTATCGGTAATAGTAATGGTATTTTCCTGCACTGATCCAGAGCGAGACGGGGTTGCAGGCAAGAGCAGACTTGTTAGCAAATATGTCTGTGCCCTCGTGCCTCTCTTTTATACATTCAGCCACATGCACCATATATTCCCAGTGGCAAAGTAGGTCAACCCTTATGGTAGTTATTAATGACTGAGACGTGAGGAAAGAAACTCACAGGAAAGCCTGATAATGCACCAAAACAATTTAATACACATTGCTGATTACAGTTATAATCTCTGATGATCACATCCTCTGGCATTATGTGAAATAACTTTTTCCTCTTTCCGTCTTATTATTTAAATTCAGAGGAAAAAAGAGATTAACGCCCTCCAGCCTGGCGCTTGGCTAATTTGCAGGATAAACGAAACACCGTGTTTTCAAAAAAGCCACAAGAACAAAATGTTCAAAGTTTGTTGTCGTTGTATTTGCATGTTTAACTGAAACATGTGCCTTTTGGCTGGGCTTATCAGGCTCTTTGTCTTCTATCAGAGGGGTGTTTGGGGTGAGGGGAGGGGATCTACTGATGTTTACTTCTGGTGCAGGCTAAATCTAACCATGTGAGACCCCACTGCCTCTGCGGGGAGCCACTTTTACCCACCCCTTCATCCCTCGGTCTGTTCCTGATATTCTTTCCACCCTAACAGATACAGCTATGCACAGGTGTACATAATCGCACACAAATGCATAATCACCAAACAATGAGGGAGAGATAATTGCAAGATCATTTTAATACCATAGCCCAATTGAACATGTAACACGTGATTTTCTCTTTATCAAATCTCATATCTAATGACTGCAGTATTTTTAACACTTAGAATATGCCACCTAAGAATATCTAGAGCTTGGCGATATTGAGCATCTGTTTTTGATCAAAAACCTCAATATCTAGGTGTAAAGTTAAATATTGGTGGTTTAATGAAGTATACAGTGTATCCCACAAATCTGAAATATACTTGTGGTGGTAGCCGAGGGGTGTTCTGATGCACACACACTGCTCTGAAAAAAACGATGTTTACGTCGTCTTCTCTGTTTCTCGTAAGGTCTCCTTTTCTGTTGGTCGCTTGTTAGCAGACCCTTCACGCGATAGCAGAGCGAACAGGTACAGGAGGCGTACAGCGAGGGATCATTGTCCACTAGTTAATTGATCGCAGATGGCGTCGTGCTCGCGGACGGATAAAAAAAACAAAAAGGGTCGCGAAATATACTTTGGCGGTCGTTAATATACCTGGGCGGCCCACCCAAGTAAAGTCTATGTGTGGAAACGCCTGGTGTATATATACACAATGATATTTAAAATAACATCACTTTACTGTAAGAAAGCATTTAAAACGAAGAAAAAGACAACACATATCACAATAACCAAATCTAAGACGCTATTTCTTCTCATAACACATTATCAATAAAATATTAATATATTGACATGTCCAAGTATATTTGGCAACCCATCTAGCTTTAAATGTATTTATTTATTTTACCTGTCTGAAAATACTGCAGCATCCACGATCAAGTAACAAGTGGGAGCACCAATTAGCTTTGGGCATTGCTGCCATCAGCTGCCGGGATGGATCTATGGCGGGACAACATGCTGCTCTACCGCAAAGCCAATGTTCACACACACACACACACACACACACACACACACACACACCAACACACACACACACACACACCACACCACACACACACCACACACACACACACACACACACACACACACACACACACAACACACACAACACACACACACACACATCACACACACCACACACACACACACACACACACACACACACCACCACACCACACACACACACACACACACACACACACATCACACACACACACACACACACACACACACACACACACACACACACACAACACACACACACACACACACACACACACACACACACACACACACACACACACACACACACACACACACACACACACACACACACACACACACACAATTCCCATCCAGAGCCCGCAGTCATTGGCCCTAGAACACTGGACAACTTTCTGTTGATAACACCTAACAGAAATGCAGAGCTTTGCCCCCCAAAAACGGTCATTCAATGCTATCGCTTCAAAAGTGTGAGTCAGAGTGGGTCTGATCAATGCTGGCGATATCCCCTAGAGAACAGACACATGGAAAAGTTGAAGCCAGGCCTTTAAAAGGCTGAGCTATTGATTGAATTGCTCTCCAAAGTGTTTTTCATCTCTGGGACTATACAAGGAGAATGCCGGCTGGTGTGCAGCAGGGTGCAGATGGCATGGTTGACCACCATAGAGAGGAAAGAGAGAGTGAGAAAAGAAAGGGAGGAGAGAAGGATGGAGAGACAGACACTTACCCCTGGAAGTGTTTTCTGTTCGTGGAGGGCGTTCTGGGCTTTGATGGCCGACTCTCGGGCGCAATAGGTGAGGAATGCACAACCTGCAACAGAGGTACACCACATATACATGTATAAGTCACACAGAACTCAACAACATAGTTAAACAAACAAAAACTGTGGACAACAGGGAACAGTTTTAAAGAAATCCCAACAAGAATATATGGAAAATAAGAAAATGGTGTTTGGCCTGTTTCAATATAATGAGATCCAGATACTGAGCAATTAACACAATTAAGAAACTAGTTCTGCGGAGAGGCTCTATTGAGTTAGTGAAAACACAAAAACTAACATTTCTTGGAATAAACAGAGCAAGTTAATGAAAACAGGCAACCGTGCAATACCCCAGGATATATGTGGACATTTTCTCCAGGTGGCAAAGAGGAGAGGAGAAAAAAACAACACCACAATAATAAAGTAGGAGATGAGTTGTGAATTCTTTGGATGAATTGCCCGGCCTGTCCAGCCTCCCCATCCCTCGTGCCATGTCCTGTCAAAAGCTCCTAGCAGCCTGGCCAGCGCTCCAACCCTGAATGGTTGTGACAGCAGCGGAGACAAAAGAACCAGGACTGCAGGACTGAGTATTGGGGGGTAGAAAAAGAGAGAAGAAGGGATATGTAGAGATACAGGAAGGAGGGAGATACTGACAGAGAAGATGGGAGGACAGGACGTGGTGTTAAAACTCTCCAGGGTGAATGCTTCCATGCGTGCACACACACACACAACATCTGTCAAAATCACTGAATACATAAAGAAGAGAAGAGGAGAAGAGAAAAAAGATGGAGAGAAACCAGATGGAGTATTGAGGCTATCATTTTCCCCCTGACTGTCTGAATAAATAGATTTGCTTGTGTTCTATTAATGAGGTTCATATGGGTTACCATGCATCATATTTCTGCCACTCCGACGATGGTTTATTAGCAGCCACTGCATTTTGGATCTCATTTCAACAGCTAAATGTATTCAGTGGGTGGTGATGTATTAAGCGTCTTTTCACGGACAATATTCCAATCTGGTGTCTGGTTGCATAATATCAGAACATTTTTACACATCTAAACGTTTACTATGCATGTCTGTCGCATGCTCATGCATGTATTTGTATATTTTTCCGATGTTCCGGACACTCTAGTACTTAGGGGATGGCTCCACTGTAACCTGTAACCGGACTGCATCAAAAAGGAGAGTTAAAATGCCATGTCAGTGATTGATCTATTGATCGACCTGTAACCTGTTTTGCCTTGCTGCTTTAAGCCAGGTGTCAGCACATGTGTGTAAAGTCCTGCAAACACCTGCCCATACACAGAAATCATTTGCCCACTCTTATCTTAATCCCATTCAATTATTTTTGTTTATAAAGCTTCTCCTTTTGTTTAGGACAGTCAGTCTGCACCCTGCCAAGCTTTTCAGTATGAGAAAGACAGATAGTGATGGAATCTGTCCAGGGTCGTGACCTTTGAGGTGTGACTGTAGCACTGCTGTCACGGTACAGCCTTCCCCATAGCCTGCCTTGTCCCTGCAACCCTAACCTAATGATTTCCAATGGCCACCAAGAAAATCATTCAATCACTCAGACTGCTGTCCAATTCTCCTTTTCTCTTCTGCGTCAGCTAGTAAGGAAATACCAAGACTGGAAATGTCATTGTTGTTGTGGGTTTGTTTGTTTGTTTCTCAAATGGTTGAGGGTAATAGGAGGGAATGGCTCCATTTTGGTAGTTGTTTTTCCCTCTTTTTTTCGCTCTCTCTGGGCTTGTTGTTTGTTGGTTTACTTGACAAATGCTCGCCCTATCTCTGAATAAGAAACACGTATTTTGCATTACAATCGCAAACACGATTTATTTGTTAATGTGTAATGCATAGGGCATTGTGAATAAATTAAAAACAACGACAACAATGGCAAACAAAAGGGAAACATGAACTCCATTTAAATGTGATTCTGTGCTCTTTAATGTATGGCTTAATAAGAATTTGCAGGCCACAGGCAAAAAAGCTTTAACAACTCCATAATTGGAATCCAAACACGTACAAATTGCCAGTGCTGCATTGCATACCAAGTGCAAAAGTCTGAGGGGGGAGCATGATGAAACAGTTTGAAACACAACAAAAAGCCACTGTAATCGGAGCCTGCTGACACAGCAATGGGGGAAGCCTTCCCATTGTGAGAGATGATCCTCTGCATCATCTGATAGAATCCTAAAACAGCCTTATCTCACACATTGATTTCAGCTCCAAAGAGAAGAAATTCGTCCTCTTTGCTCCCTTTCCCCCGCTTAGTCAATGCCAACTCTACTCCTCTCGTATCCTATTTTCTAATGATATATTTTTAAGTGTGCGCCATGTGTACTGGGTAATAGGACTGAGTCTATTCATCTCCACGGTGTTCAATTGGCAAGTAATTAAATAGTTCTACATGGAAGAGAGAGAGTGAGTGGGTGAGAAAGAGAGACAACGAGAAAGAGAGTGAGTAGCCGAGGATACTGTATAGCTGCGGTGACAGCAGCCATTTACATTCACTGTGGTCCAGGCTCTCAATCTCCAAACTGTGAGTCTGTGTGCAGCACAGTAGGGTATCGTGCTGCTAGTGCTAATTGTATTTTTTTTTTCTTCTTTGTTTTAAGTTTAAGGGTCCTTAAAAATCATCATTTAAAATATATACTTTTACGCATTTCGTTTTCCAAAAATGTTTTACAGTTGTGTTTTAGGACTTCAGCACTGCAAGTTTAAATGATACAATGTAAAAGTAAAATGTTTGTACAGCGATTCAGTAATCAATTTTCTGAGGTGTTTCTATCATGCAGAATAATTCTTTCTACAGCTATTGTATGAGCAGATGGGACAACATTACATTCAAATCAAGCTATTACGTTTCACTGTGCTAGCTATCTTTCTTACACACAAAGAACCAAACCACTGATTAAACACATGCCTCAATCACCTCTGTTTATAAAGCTATTCCCCAAACAGAATGTCAATAGTGGAGAACTGTGCAATAATCTTACAAACATGCCCAGCAAATATTGTTAAGACATGGTCACGGGTATGAAAATGAAACTCAGCTCCTAGAGAAAAATCATTATCTAGATACATATCCAACACTACCATCCAGACTCTTACTTTTCTCCATGGAGCACTACACTTCTAAACTGGTAATGACGAAGGGGTAAGTGCTTTTTGGACACACTACGATAACAACATTACTACATTTAGCACATTCTTACCATTCACTGAGTCAAAACATAAGAAAGATCACATTATCAGCATACATCAACCCAGTTAACTATTGTCTATAGGATATAAAATAAAAATCAATTATCTTGAAACATTTCAAAACTAATTATTAACGCGCACAATAAACTACAATATCTACATACACATTTCACACATGTTGTCTTGTCACCAGTTCAGTTAGCAGTAGGACATTTAATATCAGGCTAGGCCAATTAAACTTGTATCAATCACCAGGCTAGCACAAAGATATTTTTGACAACACTTCCATGTTTACCAGCTAACCTTGCCGAAGCAATTGTAAAACATTGAAGTTGCATAATATGCTCAAGCGTTGCATTAACTACCTGGGAGTAAGCTAACTGTACTGTATCCTTACCTAGCCGTTAGCATTGACCCCTAATGGCGTACTTTTAATTAATGTCACAAATTGTTTGTCATCACTTACCAACTTCGACGAGCTTCTACACGACATGCTTTCATTAAAAGGTCCACCTTAGCACAAAGCTATAAACTAGTAACTTAAAAGTCCTTCTTAACATTACTTATAATAGAAACTTAGTGTTTCCTGAACAATAACGTAACTTTTTTATAGTTTGCTAACAGCTCGTCAATCGACACCATTGATGTATAATAAGAACACAGGTGCATTTATTATTGCAACTTGCCCGCAAACACCACTCGAGACACTGCAGAGCAGGCGCCATCTGATTGGCTTATTCAAAATAGCTTTATTGACAACACAGAAAAATTACATTTTGTTAAAAAATAGTTGTGCACTGGAAAACAAGATAGATATACTAGATAACAACAACACATAGATAAAAGTAAAGAGTTCATATAAATACTGGATATTTGTAAATTATTACATCAATAATTGCGGATGTAAAACTAAACACTTATATTCTTATATATCTTACTATATATTCAGTCTTTGTTAGATCCAAAATGTAGAACTCGCGTATTTATTATTTTATAGATACTTTGTTTAAGTTGTTTATTATATATTTCAAATGTAACTATTCATTTAATTTATACCTTTTTTTGGATTGTTTTTTGAAATGTCCAGTACTTGCTTAATGTCTGTTTAATGTGTTCAATAAAAGAAAGAACAAAAGATAGAAACAAATAGAAAACTTACAAAGTAACAATAACATTGTTGATGTATGGGCTACGCTCTCAAAGACAGTTAACCTTTGAATTCTAAATCCAATTCTAAATCCAATTATTGTTTTTCTTTATTCATCTTTAATCAGATCCATATAAAATGGACTCTGGGTGTGTTGCTTTTTGTATTTGTGCTTTTTTCATCTTCTCAGAAAGAGGGCCAGTGTTTAGGATTTAGGGAGGCACTGGCAGAAATTGAGTATAATATTGATATATATATAATGGTCTTCTTCAAATGAGTCTTCAATGTAACACTGCCTTGTTTATGCAGTAGCCAAAAACGACAAATTGTAAACTTTAAGTTTTTAAGTGGCAGCTTGATTTTAGTGGCACAAATGGACTTGAAGACCATTGGTTCCTCTGCACACTTAGAAAAAGAAAATCTGAGGGACATGTTAAGTTGATCTTACCGCTAGAAGCCAATAAAGTCTACACACTGGTCCTCTAATGATTTTAATATTTATGCTTGAGGGACCATTAAGAGATGAATTTGTGCCTGCCACTATAGCAACTGACAGCTACAGGCTTTGACGTTCAAGTGCAGGGGCAAATACTTCTACATCGGCAATGGGCATAAATCGTGTGCTGCAGAACCGTCAAATATCAATGCAGCTCCATAGGGACTGGGTTGGTTTAAACCACAACGTCTCTCTTT